ATATTAGCTATTTTAATGTGTGGTGGTAGTTATTGTCCACTTAATCCACAAGATCCACAAAAACGTCTTTTAACATTGATAGATGATACACAAACAAAACATGTTCTTATTCATAATTTAACGAAAAAGACATTCATTAATTTTACTAAATATGTTATTAATATTGAAGAAATAGTATTGAATATACAACCAGCCTATATAGTGGATGACGCATTCACGGAATTGTCAACAGTTTTAGTGGGAAGGGAAAGTATTGCATTTGTTCTATTCACATCAGGATCTACCGGTCAACCAAAGGCGGTAATTACGTAAAAGATAGTATTAGTCTGAGATCTAATTCAGTTCATTTTCTAGGTTCAAATTCGTCATCGAAATTCTATTTCATGTATACAATCTTATCTGAATGTTGGATTATTTCATAAAGATAATGAAGTTATTTTACAACTGACACAATGTTCATTCGATGCACATTTTGAAGAAATAATTGGAACATTTATTACCGGTTCATTGTTAATTCTTATGAAGTCAAATGGTTACTTAGACATGGCTTATACATGTAAATTAATCCATTGTGAACATATCACTTATGTTCTTGCAGTACCAAGTTTCATTGTAACAATGTGTGGCTATTTACTTAAGTGCCAAAGTAATCAGTATCTAGAATCCGTTCGATGTTTTGTTTCAACAGGTAAATATTAAGATATTGTAGATAAATGGATAGATAGATAGATAGATAGATAGATAGATATATGTATAGATAGTACTCAATAGAAAACAGATAAAGATCTGTGGTTAGCACTATTCTGTAGCCAAGACATTGCATGCTCGCATACAGGTGGTTCAAAATCTTCATTCTCAGATGATACAATCGCTTCAGTTTTTTAGAAAGAAGTATAGTATATAATGATATTATGCTGTATTCTGAATTCAAATACGAACGACAATTAGTATGTGTTTCGTGGAGCTATTCAAAATATATCCAACAGCATTCTTTTTCGAAACGGATAGTAGATACATCTGGTTAAGTTCTGGAACCAATCGAGTAAAGCTTCTATGAAGTTGCAATGAACTCAGTGACAATTGTAGTTTGTTAGAAAACTCATAAACGAACATGGCACAAAATTCTGGACAAAAATACACACCACACCACGTTCCTTTTTCACAGTTCTGTTTTGTAGCCTGAACTAACGAGGGAAACTCACAGGAACTGGCACATCGCTTTTTCAGCTAAACCTAGCGGATTATAGGTTATCAACTATGCTGAATTCGAATATCATAGTAGTAGCTGCACAGGCGCCATCAGAGAGCGATTTTCTGGAAAAACAGTTTTTCAGAAATTTTAAAAAATAACAGAAACCTTTCTTAGTAAGTCATGCCTGTAGTCCGCAAATTTCTGATTAAAATGAGACATCTCCCAGCTCTACACGACCTCTTTTTGCAAAGTTACAGAATGTACAAGAAAAGCCCTAAATCTTTATTGTCAGCTCAAAGCTACAGAAATAAGAAGAAATTAATTTAGGACTTTTCTTGTATGTTCTATAGCTTTATAAAGAAAGGTCATGTAGAGCTGGGGGATGTCTCCTTTTAATCAGAAATGTGCGGGCTACAATCACACTTTATGAAGAAGTTTTGGTTACTTTTTATGGTTTCTGAAAAATTGATTTTCCAGAAAAACGCTGTCTGAGGGCCTCGGGGCAGTTATCACTATGATATTCGGATTCAGCATAGTTGAAAACCTATAACCCACTAGGTTTGGCTGAAAAAGCGACGTAACAGTTTGCGAGATCCCCCAGTCAGTTGGAGCTTTCCTCTACGCTTGTCAGCAGTAAAAAATGAGGGTTGGGTACCCTTAGTATTTGGTCAACGTGTTTGTTACTTTTAAGCTATGTTCTATTTAGGACCCTCTATTAGCTTTTGGTTCAAAAGAATAAATAAAAATTGCTTTTGTACTGAGTCTTCTAGTGAATCTGCTTTTGATTGAGAATAGAGATGTGAGATCTACCTTGCTCTCATAGGATAGGAGAGATCCATGTCGTGAAAAATGTTATAAGACAGAAATGAGGGTACAAAAATCAGCTGTCCTGCACATCTCTAGTTAAGAAAGTCTTTGATTTTTTAACTACTCGGATCGATAATAGGGGTGGCACATTACCATTACTGTTACTAGTAATACAAATATTGTATATATTACTATTACTGGTAACAGTAATCTTCTGTGTATTCCTATTACTAGTAACAGTAATACTCAACAGTATTCCTATTACCAGTAACAGTAATACTTCCAGTATTATTGTTACCAGTAACAGGAATATTCATAAAATTAGTATTGCTTTTCAGGAAAGTAATACAAAAAAACTTTTTTTTCAAAAATATATTCAAACGATTTCCTAACTTCTTCTTAAATGAAAAATGCATTTTTTATGCAACTGAAACTTTTTTCAAATATTTTCCTACTTATTTGTTTTTCCTGTACATTTCGCGGACTCTCCCATTCATACAATGCTATCTGATTATTTTCGAAAGAGACTTGTAACCAGACATGGCTGAACATTGAACTACATGTGCAATTTGAGACAAGCGAATATATCACTGTATGAACTCGCATGTGAACGTAGTATTGAGCAGAGAACTTCCATCTTTATTCAACAGTGGTTGCTCAGCATTCAAGAAAATCTAAACACGCCTTTGACAAATTTATCAACGAAATAATGACGAAGCAACATCATTTCTTGTAGTATTATAACATCAGATCTTTAGTTTTTATCTGCCTGCGGAGATCAATTCGTGAGTACATGGCACCCAACACATTAATACTACTATCTGTATCAAAATATAACGGACTCCGATATTTCGCTTATAACTTTTTAACGGTGAATGCTACAGGCTTGCGGTTTTCAGTTTCTGAAACTAGACACTGGGACACGTAGATCTGTGAAAAAAT